CAAAGATTACTGCTTGTGGTGGGATTGGAGACAACTTCAGAAGCTAAGCTCTGTGCTGCCTCCCAATCTTAACCTGCTAATAGGTTTAGGTTTTGCATGGCACAAGTTTGGCCCTCATCATCTACAAGCCTAGCACATATTTCACACTTCAGAGCATGCTCTTAGAGAGTCAGGTTTCGTGGTAGTTAGGAGAGGTTTTGTGCAAATTCAGTTAGCCCTGAGAAAGATAGATTCTACCTGTTTTTATTTAAACAAAAAATAATAATTTTTATGGCCCATTAATGTCTCAGGTTCTATCATAAGCAACCTGTTAGACCTCAAAGCACTGCAAGACTATTAGTTTGTCTATCACACGCTACACACACCTATCCCTTTGAAGATCTCTTAGTTCATGGCCTTTGTGCAGCACCTGCAATTCAGCTGCTGCTGATTTTTCAGTAAGTTAAAATGAAGCTAAGCAATACACGATTAAGTCAGGAGAGGTGGAAAGGGGAAGGAGAAACAACTGGTGAATAAAAAGCGGGGGAAAAAAAGCTAAACTTTTTTCTGCTTGTTGCACCCATTTTCCCCTGACCCACGCCTGTGCTCTTCCTGACACATACAAGACTTACTTATGGCTGCTAATTATTCATTCATTCTGAACTTGTGCATTCAGACCTTTGGTTATTGCATGCTATGCTATTGCAAGCTTTTTTTTCCTTTTTCTTTTTTGAAGAAGAGCGTCTAAAAACACTAGCTGGCTTTGAAAGACACCACAGTTCACGTTATGATTGGAACTAGTTAATCAAGCAGGTAACTCTCCTTTTTTTGCAATGCCTGCACTGGCTCCTGGGTTTCAAATGCTTGCAGAAAATGCTGATTGCTGCCTAGCAAGGCACTAAATAGCTCACAACCATTCCAAGATATCTAATTGCCTTTCTCTGCTCATAGGAATCCGCTTGGACATTTGGTCCTGCAGGAGGCGTTCCTATCAACCTCTCAGCTGCACAAGGTTGAGATGTGGAAAGTGTTTTCTATAATCACAATTAACCCATTAAATTCCTCTCTTGTCCTTCCCTGGCTGTCCTTACAAACTGCTGGCTATAACCCTTCCCCCCCCCCAATCATCTGGTTTCTTGTACTTGATGTTTTAAGAGCCCACTCTTGATTTAATTTTCTCTCTTTTCATTTCTCTCTTTATCTTTATCTGGCATGGTACCTTTTTCTACTTCTTTCATGCTCCCGCTTGAATTTTCAAAGAAAAGTGGTACAGCCCAACAAGGACCCTGCACAGGAGCACAATCAGTGTTCAGAAGGCTTTATTCCTAATAGGAGCAGTTGCTCTACTCTGTGCCAGGGGACTCTAGTGGCTAGCATAATCTAGCTAGCAGCATCCCCCACTGCCTGTTAATAATGAGTGTAACAGCTGGCAACTGGGGATCCCTCCAAAGGCGGCTGTCAAATTAGGCAGCTGCCTAAACAGAGTCTGCCAAAATGTCATTGCACAACAGAGGCTGATCTGCGTGTGCTGAGCCTCTAGTGGGGGGAGACTGTCCCACTCCAAAAGGTATGGCAACTAGCACCTCCTACCAGCTGGAAATCCTCCTTAATGGAAAAGCTGCCCCAGGAAGTCTCCCCTGTGTCGGCTGCCATTTTACTCTTTTGCTACCTTTCTAGTGCCAGACAGCTATTTTCTACCAAGAGTGAGGAGAACCTGCCGAACCCAAAGAAGGGAGGGGAGAAAAATGAATTTCGCCCTGACTTCTCTTGTCAGTTTTCCACAACCAAACAGGGAGGGATCCTTTGGGCTGGAGGATGTGCAGGTCATATAACCTCAGTAGTTATACTGTGATTACCATTCTTTTTATTTTGTTTTGTTTTCAGGAAGAACTCTATATCATTGCTCTGTGTAGGGATTCATGCTGGCTCAGGAATTCTGGGGGCTGAAATTCACAAGCCATAAAGGGGCCATAGTTCTCCACCTCTGATTTAGAGGGTCTTTTATGGTCTGTAGCTTTAAAATGGGAGAAGCCCTGTGTACTTGGCTGGAATATGGAAGATTTTATGTTCCCCACCCAAAAGCAGCAGCAGAGAAACCCAACCAGAATGATCTTACTTCAATTTCAGCCCATCAGCAGCCCCAGCAAAAAGACTGGGACTAGATGAAGGCTGAAAGCAGGATGAACTATATTTTTGGCACGAGGTCTGCAGTTAGTCTGGTTGAGATGTGGAGAGCTGCATGAAAAATAAATGTGGCTATGTGGGAAATAGGAGGAGGGGGAGGGGGCTGGAGCTATGAATATTTCATCAATTAATTGCGTGTATGTCCCGTATTTTTATTCCATCCCTGCATGTGGATTATGCATCCCATAAAAGATGTGAGGCTTTTTGGCAACAAAGACTTCATCATTTCCCCCACCATCCCCGCCTTCCTCTGCCATCCTCCTTCAGTATCTGGTTGCAGGTAAGACTGCGCTGAATGTCTATACTGCAGCTTCCTAAAAAAGGAAACGGTAGAGGCTAAAAATATACACAGTGAACAAACCAGTAACATAATAAAGCAATAAACACTTCAGTCCAGTAGTACATCTGAGACATAACATCAATGCAGCCTCAGCCAACAGCGCGTTAAAAAAAAGATCAAATCAAAATATCTGCATAGATGTTGAAATATAAAAGAGGTCACCCTGGGAATAGAAGTGGGGCCATTGTCAAAGAGGATTTCTGCTGTCCTAATTATGGCTGGGTGTGTGTGGATATATTCCATGGAGGGCCACTGATGTTAATGAAGTACACTGTGTTTATCTATTTTTTTTTTTAAAAAAAACGTATATCCAATATAGCAAACATACCCAATAATAAGCCGAAATAATAATAATAAAGTTGGAAGGGACCTTAGAGGTCATCTAGTCCAACCCCTTGCTCAGGCAGGAAACCCTATACCATTTCGGACAAATAGCTGTCCAGTCTCTTCTTAAAAACTTCCAGTGTTGGAGCATTCACCGCTTCTGGAGGCAGGTTGTTCCACTGGTTAATTGTTCTAACTGTCAGGAAGTTTCTCCTTAGTTCTAGGTTGCTTCTCTCCTTGATTAGTTTCTATCCATTGCTTCTTGTCCTGCCCTCAGGCGCTTTGGAGAATAGCTTGACTCCCTCTTCTTTGTGGCAGCCCCTGAGATATTGGAACACTGCTATCATGTCCCCCCTCGTCCTTCTCTTTATTAAACTAGGCATACCCAATTCCAGCATCCTTTCCTTATATGCTTTAGCCTCCAGTCCCCTAATCATCTTTGTTGCTCTTCTCTGTACTTTTTCTAGAGTCTCAACACAAGGGCTAGAAACCAGAGTCTAAAACAACAGCTAAAAACACCGGTTACAAATTTAACAATATTGAGCTGAAAATAACTTAAATTGGAAAGAAATGCAAAGCACACTTATTGATTCCTCAGGCTGGAATCAAAAGAGATGTTTTTCCCGGTCTTTGAAGGAATTGGAGAGGGTCCTAGCCACACACAGACTAGACAAACTTTAACACAATTGGGATATGTTAAAAACTGGTTAGAGGGATTCTTAGCAGCACCTTTCTTCCAGCAATTCCCCCCCCCAAAAAATATGAAAAAGTAATGTTCTTTATTTTTGACAAAAGCATGGTTTGCTATGGTCATCCCTGCATGACATCCTTTAGTTTGCTTAGCCATGGAGTCCTTAGCTATTCTATTCAGACCGTTTTCCTCCAGCTCAGTCAGTGGTATTATCTCAATGGCCAGCAACTGATATGCCTCCTGGTTCATCACCAGTCAAAGTGGCTGAGCTGAGTGAGAAGAAGAGGGACTCTAAGCATGGTGTCTTCTTGAAGGAATATGAGGGTGACAGCATCACTGGGCTGTCTGAAGATGGGAGGTAGCTGCAATCTAAAAAGAAGTGCTGAAAATTAATTGTATTGTGATGTGAGAATAACCTTGGGAGAGGTGAGGAAGAGCCACAGCCTAGACCAGGGGTCTTCAAGCTTGGCCCTTTTGTGACTTGTGGATTTCAATTCCCAGAATTCCTCAGTCAGGCACGCTGGCTGAGGAATTCTGGGAGTTGAAGTCCACAAGTCATAAAAGGGCCAGGTTTGAAGACCCCTGGCTGAGGAATTCTAGGAGTTGAAGTCCACAAGTCATAAAAGGGCCAAGTTTGAAGACCCCTAGCCTAGACAACAGGGAAGAGAAATCTGAATCCCAAGGAGGGATGAGGGTGAAGAAAGCAACTGTCCCTAGATCTTTGGAAAGTAAAAACATTGGGGGGGGGAGGGAACACTTTCAGACTTGCAGGTTCCTTTTACTGTAACTTTACAGTAAAGGTAGTATTAGTACTTATGGTTTGGTTTCCTGTCTGGACTACCTCGAAAGGCTGACATCATGTTCTCAAGGATTAAATGTCACTTTTGTGAGAAAGGATTGTTTTGTTCAACCTTGTTTGCTCAAAATGGTTCTGTTAATTCTAACTGTGCTGTTTGTAGTCCTCCATGGTGATGATGGCTCTATCAAGGTTTTTTTTTTTTTTTACTCCATTGTCAGTCAAATAATTGGAAAAGAACACTACCAGCATAATGGGTAGGGCATTGATTGATCAATCAATCGATCGATCGATTGTTCAATCATAGGGCAATGGTAGGGCATATAAGTGCACAAATGTCTTTGATGCCTACTTCCCATCATCTCCAATTAGTATTGCCTTTATAGACAGAACTAATGAAATAGCAGTTCAACATGTCCGTTAGATACCCAGTTAGAAATAACTCAGTTCTCACAGTACTTTGCCACTGACTGCGTCTTTTGAGAACTGCAATCTAAAAACATCTGCATAAAAACATTGGCAGTGTTGCCTGTCTCCAGTGTACCATCTACAATAAAGAACTATCTTGGGAGTTGCTGACAAATAACTATCTATCTCTCCTGTCTGCAGTTTTTTTTTTTTTTTTGGATATTTAGAAAAAAGTTCCTTACCAGCAGTTATTGTAATTAATCTCTCTTCCTCTACAGATCCGAAGGCGTCGCCCAACTCCTGCCACCTTGGTCTTGAGCAGTGACCAATCATCACCTGGTGAGAGCAGATGCATGACTTGATTGAATGAAAATTTCCCCTCCCCTCCCCGTCCAGGAATGGTTTGCTGCTATTCAGTAGGTCAGTCCTGGAGAGAATTTGAATAGTAGTATGTGAGACAACAAAGACTTTAAATCAGGGATGGGAAGGGGATCTGTAGTCATCCAAGCATGACTGAAATATCCTCCCAGCAGCTGCAAGCCAATATTGCTCAACATCTAGATCTAGTAATATCTCAAAAATCTAGAACTAGTAATATCTAGATGGCCATGACCAACATCTAGTAACATCTAGATGGTCACCTCTCTCACCCATGCCTGTCCTAAAATATTGCTCATTATTTATATTATGGAGGCATCTTTTCTGACCCCTGAGGAAGGGGATATATGGGGGCCTCACTCTGATTGGTACAAGGGACTATTTCTGATATTGCTGAAACTCTCAAGCTATAGCTAAGGACTAAGAGCCAGTCAGCTCTCTCTACCCCAAAACATAACTTTTTGCTAAAGCCTTTGCTATTAATCAGGTTTTTCAATTGCTTTTTGCAGTCCAAAATAGATTACAGAGTATGATTGAGGCTAAATAATGGCAGTTGAGTCCTGCCTTTATTCATGATTGCACAATTGAAGCTGGGAGGGCTTTGGCCAGCCTCCCATTCCTTTTCTGTACTGCTCCTGGTTTTCAGTGAATAAATTAAAATTAAAATTATTGGATTTATGTTTGGATAAGAGGGAGAAGAAAAAGGAATTTAACTAATGAGTAAAACATGTGTGGGCGTAAGAAAACGTAACTCTTATCCTGGACAAGGCAATTGACCCCTATGCAACTTTCAAAACACTTGACAAGATTCATACATTGTCAAGGCAATTGGAGAGTGAGGAAGCCACAGTGCCCCCCCCCCGCCCCACCGATGCACTGTGAAGGAACTCTAAAGATGTAGAGTCACCTCCCAAGTGAACTGCCGCAATATGCTTTACATGGGGCAACTCTTGAAGAGCATTCAGAAGTTGCAGCTGTTCCACAATGCAGCAGTATGGGCAGAAGTGGGCACACCTCAATGCATCCATGTAACAGCACTGATTTATGAGCTTCACTGGCTTACAATAAGCTTCTGAGTAGGTGCTGGCTGACAGCTTTTAGCCCCTATGTGGCATGGCCCTGGTTGTTAGTAAGGTTGGCTATCTCTGAAGGTCTGTGTCTATATTACTCAAACTAGTGGGATGTTTCAGGTCTCTTCAATGAAGCAGTCTCACCTGATGGGGCCTTGGAAATGTGCCTTTTCTGTCTTGGAATGTGCCTTAAAGAACACCCTCCCACTTGGGGATATGGATGATCCCCAACCCTATTGGCCTCAGGGAAAGCTGCAAAGACTGACCTTTCCCCCCAGGCACTGGGGCCAGGATGTTGGTAGAGCAGGCACTGGGTAATCTGTCAGTAGCTGGAAGTAAGTTTTATTGAAGTCTTGATTTGTTAAACGTTACAAAAGTTTAATTTTTTTAAAAAAACACTAGTTATAAAGAAGATAAGAACCATCCTAAGGCTTATAGATTAGAGAAAAAATAGGTCAGAGATGAGGATTCCCTTATCTATATTATATTCCCTTCCCTTCTTTCCCTCCAGGGCCATCTTTCCGAAACTAAGATTGTCAGTGCAGCAATTGGAATTTGTGTCATGCCTATCTGGATTTTTAATTGACTGGCTTTACATTACTTTCATTAATGTAAATTGGGAGGGAGTTGGAAAGAGAAATAGCAAGGAAGGAACCTAAGCGATTTATTAAGGTTGGAATAAAAGTGGATATACACATGAATACATTTTTCGGGGGGCCCTCCCCAATTTGCCAATGTTTCAGTTAGAAAATCAATTGCAGAAAAAAGTTTATCAGGACAGTGTGGGCTGGGTTCCTTTCTCTTTGGATCACCCTTGCCCCTCATGCCATTCTAATCCTCGTCTGTCCAAATTGTGGGCAGGATGCAACATTGGCTGTATTTTTTATTTTTTGCAACATCTCTTCTCCAGCTGATGATGTTTTCTTTTTTCTGTATGTGGTATCAGCAAAGAGGCCCTCAGAGTTTCTTACTGTTTCTGCTCATGGTTTGGTGTATAAAATGAGTTGCATGAAAATCCTTCACTTGATGCCTGCTTAATGATACAGCCAGACATGAATACCCATTCTGCTCCCAGTGAAGGAAATGATTGCAAGAAAATGTCCTTCATATCTGGACACTCTTCTGGCTCATTTTCCTATCCGGTCAATCTCCAACAGCTGCATCTGCCCTTTGAAAGTCATGCAGCCCCTGTAATGACCTGTACATCTCTCTCCATCTGTCTGAATGTTTAGGAACTTTTCATAGCAGATGACAGATTGGCAAACTATATTCCTAATGCCTAAGGAATTCTGGGCATGTTGCTCTCAAAAAGTAAAATGTAGATGCTTTGACAATGTTGAGATTTAAGAACTAAGAGATATTTACAGTTTAATCCCTCAGTCTAGAAGAACTCAGCATCTAAGTGATAATTATTTTCCAACAATTCATACATAAGACTTGTTCAAGTAAAACTGTGCCACTAGATTTCACTGATAATAGAGTAACGCTAACAGGGTGTTACAAGCTTGCTTTCCCTCACTTCTGCCCACCACTGCTCCCAGTCATTTACAGAGTAATATGTGTACAACTGATCTATGGAAAAGTTACATCTTGAATAGGGAGTCTTCTGGATTGTGTGAAGGAAAAACTCAAAATAGATTTCTTGTCCTTGTGAAAGGAAGTGTTAAAGGTTTAAATCCAGTTTTGCATCTGATATAGAATCTGATACATTCTTGGAATTGATATCTAATGGATAGATTTGAAAACCAATACATACAACTTATCTCCAGGCATTGTTTTGATCATTCAAAACTATCCCTGTTCAGGACACTGTCAAATACCATAAGTAACAGCAATATTGAGCACAACAAACTTTCTGATACAAAAATGTAGGCATGTCTCCGTCCATCATTCAGAGAACTGATCCTTATGACAAAACATGTCCCCAATGCTTGGTGCACCAGAGTAGGAAATTTAGCAATTCTGTTCAATGAATTATAAAATCCTGTTGGCTTCTTTGGGAAAATACTATATCTATAGAAAGATAACTCTAAATATAAGACTATCCTCCAGCATCAGTAGATAGGAAAATATTAGAAAAGACACACACAGTTCCTATTCAATGTTTGGCTTCCCTACTTTGTCATCCTAGGATGGGCAACCCTAGCTGAAAATGATTCCGAAGATTACCTCCACCAAAAACTATGTTTCCATGTAACACATATATTTGTATTTCTATGTATCTGTCCAATGTCACACTTCAAAAAAAGAATAGGGCCAGATAATACTGTAAGAGGGAGGGAGGGACAGACAGGGTAAGTAGGTAAGTAGGTAGATGAATTAAAAATATTAATTAAAAGTAACAATTTGAACAATAACTCACCCCATTTATAAAATTAATTTATGGTGACCTGGATGTGTCACCAATCTTCTCTTAGGCAAATCATTCTCACATGCAGAAACAGATTTGTGTACACACACACACACACACACACACACATACACACACACACACGTTCTTCTCCCTTTTTTAATAGAAACAGCACAACAGAAGGAGACATTGAATAGAGAGGGAGTGCAATGAAAGGATAGTTGCATGGGGAGGAAAGATTTGAGAAAGGGCAAGGATAAAACTTGAAGGGGTTTGGGTGAAGGGGAAAGAAAAAAGCTTTTGTTTCAACATGACAGAAATTGTTATGTTTAGTAGGCAAGCAGCTCCTATCATGAAAAGGCTAATCTTCCAAAGAACCCCTCTTTAAGATATTCTCCTACAAATTTCTTGGTTCTCTAGAGCTTCTTCTATTCTTATCGGCTGAATGCAACAAGTAATTATCCTAATTATCTGGGATCAGGCAATTATTTACTGGATACATATTCATTAGACTTGCTTGAGAGGAACAGATGAGTAAAGAACATCCTTCATGGAACAAGGTTGCAATAGAATGATCTTTAGTCCCTTGATATGTCCACTACTGGGCTGCTTTTGTGATAGTGCTCTTCCAAATGTGAGAGTAGCCACATGAAAAGAAACAGAAAAGCAAGAAAAAAATCCCCATGCTCTTGAATTTGGTTCTTTATTTTCTGACTCAATGAGTTTCAGATTGAATTAGTCCTTCAGGAACACATAAACCTAACGTACATTTAATCGAAGTACCAGTTAGGTTCAGCCTGGAACAAAGCACCTCCTTGAAGGCTAGGCTGAGCAGCATCAGTGTCGATTGTGGTAGGGAATCCCAATACCCAAACCAGAGGCGGCTAGCCAGAGCCCTTAGCAGATGCCAAGTTGTCTCCCAGATGGCAGCTTCAGTGTGGCTTGCTGGAAATCTCACAGTGGGCACAGGAAAAGGCAACCCCTAGTGTAACCACAAGGGCCTCCTGGGGCTTTTGGAAATCCTTCTAGGATTGCCTCACCACTTTAGAAAAGCAAGCAGCCCAGAAAAGCTCCTTTTGTACCACTAGGCTCTTTGGCATTGCTTCCCAGATGCCAAGTGGCTGAGAGAGACAGTGACAAGCAAGAAGAGTCTTTCCCTGTGGCAGGCATTCTTTCTGTTGCTGCCAGTGGACTAGGGAGGGGAGCAGGCTAGAAAATCTATTTTTGTGCTGCTGGGCTCCCCCAACTGCTCACCAACTCTAGAGTAGAGTTAATAGTGGAGTAGGAATGTCTATGGAGATTCAGATCATAGTAGTCCCAAAGGTGCTTTTCAAAGGACAACTGGACTGTCTTGGTTTTTTTCCCTTGAAAATATTTTGCTTCTCATTCAAGAAGCTTCTTCAGTTCTTCAGAGAACTGAAGAAGCTTCTTGGATGAGACATGAAACATTTTCAAGGAAAAAAACCAAGAAAGTCCAGTTGCCTTTTGAAAAGCTTCTTTTGGGCATAGTAGAATAAGGCCATTGGTCTACTCCCATAGGA